CAGAGCACTCCTGGGGCAGGGCCGACATGGCACACCAGGGATCAAACCCTGGCCCCTGCAAAGCAGGCACTTTAATCTGCTGAGCTATCTGGTGGCCCTATTTATTTGTTTTTGCATCAGGGACTCACTAGGTTAGTCATTTGCTCAGGCTGGCCTCAAACTTTCCATCCTTCTGCCTGAGGCTCCCAGAGTTCTGGGATTACTGACTAGTATGTGCTATTCCACCAAGCTCAGGCAAATATTTTGTTTGTTTTGTTTTTCTTTCTTCCTTTTCTTTCACAGTAGTAAAGTTTTCTTTTCTTTTTCTTTCTTTCTTTTTTTTTGCACTGGGGATCGAACTTGGGACCCTGTGCTTGCCAGGCAGGTGCTTAAATCACTGAGATATATCCCTGGCCTGTAAAGTTTTATTAAAGGTGGGAACTGAAACAGGATAGTTTAGGCAACTTGAAAGTAGGAAAAGAGGTACAGCCTACAGCATGAAGGTGAGCTACTGTGCAAGAGCAAACACAGTGGCCTAATTTTCTAGCTCATTTTTCTTAAAGTAAGCTATTATTTACCTGTAATAAACTAGTCTTAAGTATGTTGGTGGTAAAAGACAAAGCTGAAGTTCCTTGGCAGATCAATTTTTTTTTTTTTTTTTTTTTTTGGAGGTATTGGGGATTGAACTCAGATCCTTGCACTTGCCAGGAAAGCACTTGTTCCACTGAGCCATCTCCCCGGCCCCTGCAGATCAAACTTTAAAACCTTTTGAAGAAAACTGGTAGAATAAAGGGCACAATGGCCATATTCTTAAAGTGATTTTAGGTATGAAGAGATCATATAAAATGTAAGGCTCAGCTGTTTGAAGCATGATGGTGAGTTCTAGGGGCTGCTTAGGCCAGGTACAATTGTTTTATGTTGTGCTTAGCCTATACTAGGACACTTGAGCTCTAAACCAGTATGTGGTGATGGGAGTGAGGTGCTGGATTCAGCCCTTGTCTGATAAGAGCAGGTTCTACCACCATAAGCACAACTTGGGATGTGATCGTGTTGTAGTACCGAGAGCAGCTGAGGTTTTCAGGTGTGCGTAGTTTATGTGGCTAGAAACTGGGACCCCTGCTTTATAAATGTCCAAGTAAATTTGCATATGAGGTGTTGATGGGATAGGCGTGACATACTTCACCCAAACCCTCTTACAGCAGATTTTATTAAACCTCTACCTAAGTACCTCAAATGTGCAAAACTTGAGATAATTTAGAGCAAGAGGGACCATTGGAAAATTTTAAGGATATACTGTGTTTTGCATTTCAAGCTTAGTGATGTGGTCAGGTAGAGTGAATTACAGAAGTTGAGAGGAAGTTTGAAGTGATTACAGGGAGACTGACGTGCTTAAAGGAGTTGTTACTGCTTTAATCATGCCAAGAAATGATCAGGTTTGGATTTAAAGAATGGCATATTTAGGAGGTAGAATTATGGGATCTGAGTAAGCAGATACTGCTAAGCTCACATTCTAAGCGCAACTAGACATTCTGCATTTGTTTCTTTGCTTTCTTCTCACTGATTTGACAGGAAAGAAGCACGCAGTTAAGCCACATGCTTTGGAAGGCTGAGTCAGGAGGATCAGAAGTTTGAGCCTAACCTGAGCAGTACCATTCATCAATTTAGCAAGACCCTGTTTCAAAATATAAAAGTAAAAAAGACTAAGCATGAAGAAATTTAATAGTTTCAACAACTCGTGTTTTTAACATGAGTGATAAGAGGTAGCCATCGATCATTCCCACGGAAGCCGCCTTCCAGTGCCAGTGGCCTTCCAGCTCCACTGTACCCATGCTGCCCCCTGGAGTGGGCAAGGGAGCAGAGGAGCCTGGGGAGGGCAGCTGACCCGGAGAGGAGCCTAAGCAACAGGAGCCTGCCGGTGACGGAGGCTTAGTCCAGAACCTTCTGGGTTCGAGGCCCTGACAGCAACCCCAGAGGAAGATGTGAGGGACAGACTGTGAGTGCTGGGGCTGAGGAGAGGACTGGCTCCAGGGGCACCCTGGCGAGCAGACAAAGGTGAGGGCCCAGAGAGGCTGTGTGGGGACTGTTGCACCCAGGGAGTACAGCTCAGCTCAAGAGTGGGCCAAAGACCACAGTGAAGAGGACCAAGTGAGTGGAAGGAGAAACATGAAAGTGATGTGTCACAAAGAGCTCTAGGAGGGCAAGATTTCCTGGGAGGATGGAATGCTGTGGGGTGCTGAGGAAAAGGGAGACCAGAGCAGCCTTCCAGATTTAGCCAGCAGGCAACTGTTGCTGACTTCTTGGTAGGTAGGATCAAACCTCTCTCTGAGGAGCCTGAAGTAGGGTGAGTGCACCTGCCTTGGTTCTGTGAGGAGGCCGCTGTCTGGTTCTTTGGCTGGGTCACAGGAAGCTGGCATTCTTTTCAGTGCTACTTGTTTCCAGGAAGGGAACATGGTGGCTGTGTCTGGACTTCCCTGAGTGCCTTCTACTACTTACTTTTTTTTTTGAAGTAAAAAGGTGTTTATTCCATGTATAATCACTAAGAGAAAAATCTCAGTTCAAACACTATAAACAAATTTTTTTTTTTTTAGTTCAAGCTTAAAATGTCCAAGCACACGTGTGATACTTGTACTCTGGGGTGGAGG